AAAAAAAAAGTTGGGCTCATCTCTGAAATTACAGTCCGATTTCGATCAGTGCTCTAAAACTTCAAAGTGGAACCAGCATTCCTCTGGCAAAGATACTACAATCTGCTCAGTGTAAATCAATGACATTGCCATAATTTTTATCTTGCAATCTAAATGAAAAGCAAAACAATTACTAAATGGAAGTTTATTCTGGCCCAATTGGCAAAAATACAGAGAAAAAATATAAATGGTGTGTGTCTGTCCAAACCATAAAATTCTTCTACCATTTGAATGTTTTACAAACATGGATTACTCTTTTAGTCAAGAAAAAAAGATTAAATACAGTATGAAGACTTCTTTAAGTATTTTAAAAGCACTATCATACTATAATATTTACCTAAGGTCAACAGACTTTTAGGTAAATAATTCAGTAAATCTTGCAAAATTAAACTGTTTTTAGACATCAATGAAAGAAACTACTTTTGGTTACATATTTAATATTCCAAAGTATGATAAATTTTCAGATTGATATATATCAATCAAAATATATACAAAAAAGAAATAAAAATAACTTAATGTTTTAGATAATCCAAACTATCAATTTTTACACTGTATAATCAACCAAAACGTTCTTATTGAGCTTTATAAAATCATAATCCAGTTAGCAATAATCAACACACTAAACTTGAACTTAGGGGATCTTTAAAAACAGGCAGTAGTCCAATCCTAAAGGAACACTTATCCTCTGAATTCCTAAAATATAATTTGTGCATTCCAGAGCTTAGTCAAAATCTTCAAAACATGGTACTAAGCACAGTCTTACAGACTTACTTTAGCATTTATATATTTTCTAACTAGATTAAGAAATTTATAGGCACTGATATTTTGATATATACAACGCATTTGTATTTAAACTGTACTAAAGCTTGTGCTATGTTTGCACATTTATAGAAAGAATATTTAAGAAATAGTTCTTTTTTTATAACCTTAATTGAAGTGCAGTCCTGCCATCACAGACCTAAATGCAAAAGCTAAAACCATAAAACTTCTAGAAGAAAATGTAGGAGAAAATTTCTGCAACTTTGGGATTGGCAAATATTTCTCATTAGGACACAAAAAACATGAATCATTAAAGAAAAAACTTGATTAACTGGACTTGGAAGAAATTTAAAAAATGACATGCAAACCATACTGGGAAAAGTATTTGCAAAACACATATTAATAAAGGACTTGGGTCCAGAATATATAAAACCTAATTTAAAAATTCAGTTAAAGACATGAACAGACATTTCCCACAAAAGAAAATATACTAATGGCAAAAAGCTCAGGAAAAGGGAGTTCAGCATCACTAGTTCTCAGGGAAACAAAAATTAAAACCACAATGAGGGACACCTGGGTGGCTCAGTTGGTTAAGTGATCAACTCTTGATTTCAGCTCAGGTCATGATCTCAAGGTTCCTGGGCTCCAGCCCCATGTCTGTGCTGACACCAGGAGCCTGCTTGGGATTCTCTCTCTCCTTCTGCCCCTCCCCTGCTCTCTCTCTCAAAAATAAATAAATAAACATTTGGGGAAAAAGAAAAAAAAAAACAACACAACACACGTGATACCACCAATCTCTCATAGAAGAAGTTGAATAAAAAGCCTGAAAATAGTGTTTAGGGGATGTGGAACTCTCATACACTAGTGATGGGAATTCTAAATGGTACAACCACTTTGGAAAACAGTTTGACAGCTTCTTATAAACTTAAGTATATAGTAACTATATGACCCAACAATTGTATTCTTAGGTATTATCCAAATGAAATGAAAATATGTGTTTATGCAAAAAGAAACCATACAGGAAAGAATATATGCGCTCCATGATTCCATTTATATGAAATTTTAGAGCCGGCAAAACTTATGTATAGAAGTGGTTCCTAATCTGGGGAATTTTGGCCTCCCATTCCCTGGACAATGTTGGAGACATTTTGGTTGTCACAACTTGAGAGATGGAGTAGGAATGGTTGCTACAGGCATCCAGTGTGGATAGAGAGGCCAGATATCCTGTTAAACATTCTAGAATTATCAGGCCCAAAATTTTGATAGTGCCCAGGCTGCAAAATTGTTATATAGTGATCAGTGGATGTCTAAAGGTGGGACTGGGGATATAATGCAAAGAAATATGAAGAAATTCTGAGGATGATAAAAATGTTCTATATTTTAATTGCAATAGCGATTAGTTTTTCAAAACTCATCAAACTATACACTTTAAAATAGGTGCATTTTGTTGTATGCCATCTTACATCAAAGTTGATGATAAAAAAGTGCCTGTCAAATAACATAAAGCTATACAAAATAATTTAATCCAATATTAGTTTTTTTAATATATATGAATGGAAAAGACAGGAAAGGCAAATATCATTGGTGAGATTACTGATGATTTTTACTTTTTTCTTTTTTGTTCACGTCCTTTGTATTCACTGTGAAAATACTACTTAGAGTTTAAATAAAAAATACAACTTTTTTTTTTTTAAGTGTTTATTCATTTTTGAGAGAGAGAGCGAGCGTGAGCAGGGGAGGAGCAGAGAGAGAGGGGGACAGAGGCTCCGAAGCAGACTCTGCTCTGACAGCAAGGAGCCCGATGTCTGGCTCAAACCCACGAACCATGAGATCATGACCTAAGCCGAAGTCAGATGCTCCACTGATTGAGCCACTCCGGCCCCCCTAAATATAACTATTTCTATATACAGAAAGTTTTAAAGAGAAATTTTCACTAGTAACAGTGATATCAAGCTGCAATAAGGTAGGCTAAGAAATTCTTTCAACTAGAACGAAGTCACAAAGCAAAGAATAACCTATTTCATTATATTAACAGAGTAGAAAAACAGCAGATGTAATTAAGTTACGTTCAACAACAGGCTAGGGACTATACAAAGTGTGAAGGGTATAAAGAGGTCCCTCCAGAAGCACCTATCTAACGGAGAAAAATGATGCTGTCAACAAACCAAATACAAAACAATTAAAGACCACGGTTTACATATGCAAGTAGTACAATGAAACAAGCCACTGAGGGGGGAAAAAAAAAGACACAAGCAACTAACTAAACATGGGGGGGAGGAGGGGGAAGCATTTACAAAGAAGACATTTAGGCCGGCCGGCAACGAGAACAGCTCTTCCTGAAAAGAAGATTATCCTACATACTGAGTAAGGAAGTTGTACCTACTGAGAAAATTTCGTATCAAAGAGAGAAATCTGCCTGGGATTTACCTTGATGGAAAATGCACCCTTTGCACTTGCACCGTGTCTAGATTTGGCAACAGAATTCTCTGGCACCGTGCGAACGGAGAGACAAAACAAGCAATTGCGCTGCAGTTTAAAAATCGTACATTTAACCTTTCTTAGTAAATTCCAGTTGGCCTCATCTGACACACTAAAACTTCTCACACCATTAGTAAGGGAAAATCTAAGTTGCCTGCCGGAAGAGGATACCGGTAATGCAGAAGACATCCTCGAGAGTAGGTTTTCAAGCCGTAAGAAACGCTTATAAATATACGCCAGATGGGGTAAACAATTACTTTATCGTGCTAAGAATGATTATAACTTGGTAAAAAGGTAAATTCCTCCGTTATGCAGAGAAAAAAAAAGCCTGCGAGGTGGTGGCATCACGAGATAGACTACAGGCAGAACTCCACCGCCCTGCTCTTTAGATTTCTCGCAATTTTGGAAACTACTGAAATTAAGGCATCGAAATGGAACTGAATGGACTTAGTTAAACAGAACACATTTTGTGCGGCAGGAAATCCAATTTTTGAGTGCGAAGGCGATTCCAAACACAAAGGGTCTTTAGGGGATCTGACTTTTTGGGTCTTTAGGGGATCTGACTTTGCGGAGAGAACATTTCCTATTCCTTGCTCTCGCTTGACTTTGAGTCAAAGACTTACTGCGCGCAATTTAAGAAACACAGTTTCCTGGTAGTGGTGATTCAGGAGATTAGAGGAAAAGGAAAAAAATGACTAAGGCGATAAGCCAGTTTGCAAGGGAGCCTTCTGTAGCCCCGTAACAGCCAGTGAACTGGAAACTGGATATTTTAGAGACCGACGCCAACAGGGGAACCCAGGAGCAAATGCAAGACCAGCCCAAGGTTGGAGGCACACAAGAGAGAAGAGTCGCCGCCAGATCCTTTTGCTTCCATCGCAAAGACTCCCACCCTTTCCAGCTCTCTCTCTACGTTTCTAATGCTCACTACCTGCCCGACAATCTCAACCACCTCGCCAGAGACACAGGCTGCGTTCACTTACTGAGCTGTCCCCCGCCAGACGTCGTACTCGGTTCCCGACCTCCTGCGCCTCCAATGCCAGCTGCTCCAGGGATCCCCGGCGCCCCCATCCCCGGCGGGGTCCCACTCTGCCTCTCGAAGTTGCCTGGATTGGAGAAGTAGTCGCGCAGCCGAGGCAGTTCGCGGCCACTCTCTAACAGCTCGGTGTGCAGCTCCAGAGCGGTCAGCAAGTATTGATCGCGCAACAGCTGAGCCGCGATCGCGTCAATGGACAAGCGGGCAGGGGTCTCCCCACAGCCCCCCAGTGCCACCGCAGCCGTCGACACCTCCCCAGGGAGCCCTGGCCGCGCACTGCTCCCTAAGGCCACGGGATCCTGGGGCGACAGCGAGTCCGCAGAGCCAGGATCTAGGCCGCTCCCGGAACCCAGCCGGAGTCCTGCCCGCCGCTCCTCGGTCGCCGCTACCTCGTCGTCGTCCTCGTCCGAATCGCTGAGGAATGGATTCACACCGCCGCCACCACTGCCACCACCTCCAGGCGCCATCGCCGCCATCTTATCCTGTCAGGACTGTGGGCGCCTCCCTGACTGGCTCTGACAGGCCTCAGCCTCAATTCCCCCTAAGCCGCAGCGGGCACTGCGCACTACCACAACCTTGGCCTGGCCACGTCCCACCTCCCCACCCGGAGACTAGGAGGAGACTCTGAGGCAGGAGGTCCGGATGCAGCAGCACCCGCTGCCTCAGCCACTGCTGCACCAGCAGCCGGGCTCTGCAGGCGTCTTCCTGGTCTTCAGTCTCGCGAGAAGGAGTGCATGTCCTGCCCCTCGCCCCGCCCCAGCCCCGCCCCAGCCCCGCCCATTCTAACGCCAGAGAGCAAAGATTGAAAGGCCCGCTCCCAACTCAAAGGCAAAACTCCGCCCACACTCCTGTTTGATTGGCCAGAGGAGGAGGGAGGGACTGGAGTTACGAAGGACGGGCCCTAGAATTATCGCGAGAGCAGCCTCTGGGCAGGTAGGTTTCGGGGGCGTTCCGCGGCTGAGGGGCAGTTATGACGGTGGCTTAGGAACGTTCTCTTGGCTGTCCTTTCAGGGGGCAGAGGGTAACTCTGCAGGAGAGCTAGCTTTGCGCGGAAGAGGCCTCATTCCCGAGATTACGCGTAACCCGGCTAAGCCCCAGGTAAGCCCGGGGACCCGAGCGCAGAGGTGTGGTGGCACCAAAACTGGCCTCACGCCTGCGGACACGCTGCTTCCGTAATACTTCTCACTTTATTGTTGCTGTTGTTTGCTGCCAGGTGGTGACATTGCCCTCGCACGTGTAGCAGGTGCCCAGGGCAGTTGTTAGAATTTGACATCCTTTCTCTTCCTTTCCCAGCCAAGTGACTGTCCGCTCTGGAGGCCTGGCCACAGCACCGGCTGCTGGAACTTCTGGAAGACCGCCTTCTAGCCACCGAGTTGGTGCCACAAAAGGGTGGGGTGTGGGAGGTGGAGAAAGTAACTGGACTGTAGAACTCTGGGTTTTGGATTTCCTTGGATCTGTGGATAAATATTCTTAAAGCCTCGGCTTGTGTAACAAGCTCTGAGGGGCTCAATGAGCACTTAGGATTTAAAACACAGTTTGCACAAATGCAGCCCCATCAGTAGAGAGCTAAGTAAACTGAAGTCTAGAAACGTTCAATGGCTTGGTCAAATCAACTCCACTAGGAAGTATTCCGAGGAACTTTAAAGTCAGTTTTCTTATTATGTCCAAAGCCATTCTTCTCCCACTATGCCTTGCAGTCTTTCTGACTTGGCCATTTAGGCTGGAAATAAGGTATTGACTGTGGAACGTGATTATTTTAAAGCTTGGATGCTTTGGACACTTTTAATTTCCTTTATCAAATGTTAGCACCTAGAGTATACTAAGTTTGGAAGTTCCACGTTTATCTTCTATGTCATTCCCTGATCACCGTGCGAGTGGTAAAGGGATGTTAGTTTCCAGTCAACAGCATTGGAACGCTATTCCTAAGAGCTTCTATTTTCTTCACCCATGGATTGCCGCTTTTGCAAGGTTTTAAATTTCCTCTCTGTCTGTATAGCTCCCTGTAAGCACCAAAATAAATAGGTGGCAGTAATTGTGTTATCAGGCAAGTTACACATTACATGGAAGTAGTAAAGTATCTCCTTTAGCTCTGTGGAAAAATAAAAATAGAGCATTCTTATATAACCATAGGTCAGGTTATTGGTTTACGGGTAAAAGTATGCCAACAGTTAAGTGTCGGCTTTCAGTTTACCCAGACTCAGTAAACTAAGATTTTCATTTGAATGAGGCTTTGGGGTTTTTTTCTTTTGTTTTTGCTAGAAGTTTTTTTTT